AAAAAAAAAAAAAAAAAAAAAAAAAAAAAAAACAACCACACAAACAAACAAACAAAAAAACCTGGAAAAGCTAGCAATCTGGAAATGTATAAACATGTTTCTAAAAAATCACAGTCCAAAAAATTCACAAGAGACATTAGAAAATAAATTGAACTAAATGGAAACTAACATGCGACATACAAAAATATGGAGATTGTAGCTTAAGACCTGAGAGGGAAACTGATTGCATTCAATATTTACATTAGATAAAAATGTTAAAAATTGGGCCAGGAATTTAGCTCAGTGTCACCGTGTCTGCCTTTGCAAATGCAAATTCATAAGTTCAATCCCTGGTTGGGGAGGATGTTGAAAATCAAGTAACCAGGTGTGTTCGTGCAGGTCTAGTACAATCCCAACACTCTGGGAGGCTGAGGCAGGAGGATTCCTAGTTTGAGCACTCAGAGCAGTTTACCTAGTTCGATTCTAATCTTCAAAATAAATACATATTACATATATGCATGCCAGGCATGGTGGTGCACATCTGTAATCCCAGCATTCGGGAGGCTTAGGTAGGAGGAGCACTGTGGGTTCAAGACCAGCCTGGGTTATACAGTGAGTTCCAGGGCAGTCTCAACTACATAGTGAGACCCTGTCTCAAATGCCATTTTTTTTTTTTTTTTTTTAAGGGCTGGGGATACAGCTCAGTGCAAAGGCCTTGGGTTCAATCCCCAATGATGGGGGGGAAATGCAACTGGTGATTTCCTAAGAAACTTTTTCTTTTGAAGTTACTCGTTCTGATGGTGTTTCTTCAGGCACATTCCTTAAACTGTGACTGGATATCTTCCATTATTTTTAGAAAATTCAACTACTTCTTTTGCCCCATTTTTTTCTCTTTTCTGCTGAGATTCCAACTGTAAATTGTTGTTATGCCATTTAATGCTGTCCACAGTTCCTGGATGCTCTGTTTTGGGGTCTTCACTCTTACTTTCTGTGTTTTGGTTTGCGTAATTTCTATTGACCTATGTTCAAGTTTATCAGTTTTTTTCTTAGCTATGGAAAACCAATCTGTGCGTGTGGTTTTTTGTTTTTATTTTGTTTTTTGAGATAGGGTCTCGCTATGTCATTCAGGCAGGCCTAGAATTCACTATGTATCCCAGGCTGACCTCAAACTCATAGTGATCCTCCTGCCTCAGCTTCCTAAGTGTTGGGATGACAGGCGTGCCCCACCAGACCTGGCTCCACGTACCTTTAAAAAGCATCCTTTACCTATGCCATATTTCACTACCACAACTGTTTCGAACTACTCTGCTGAAATGCCCATGGATTTGTGTATGCCTAGAGAGCCCTTAACAAACAAATCGTGCTTTTCCACTCCTCCTGTGCTAGTTTAGTTCTAACATCTGAGCTGTATCTGATTCTGGTTCTGCAGGTTGTTTCGATCCCTGACAGTGAGTTCTTCATCTGCTCTCTTTGCTTTTAGATAAGTCTCATTTGGCTGAGAGCTGGGTGCCGTTTCTAAGGCAGTGGAGCAATGCTTCTGGGCTAAAGCAGTGTCTCCTCCTCAGCTGGGTCTTTACCATGGGCCACTCAGTCCATCTAGTGAGCGGGAGAGGCGGGCCTGGGTTTCCTCACTGCTGCCTTTCTCCTCAGGGTGTCTCCACCTTAAGTTTCCCTGGCCTTACCTGTGTTTAGGTGTGAGATGTATTTGTCCAGAGTTCTTCTCAAAATCTGCTCTATCCTCACCTTTAGGCCACAGTTGTCAGGTGGCACAGCTGCACCAGGTGTCCTAGTGTCCTGACCCAGGTTCTGGCTTAGGAGTGGGCAGGAATCCCAACCCTCTCTAGCTACAGGAGACCTCTAAGGACAGAACCTCAGGACTGTCCTATGCCCCACACCCACTCCTGGGTCCTGTCCTCATCTCATCACAGGGTGACAGGACCTGCTGCCCTCCCCGGTGGAGTGAGGCTTCTTTAGCAGTTAGGTTGGGGAAGCAGCCCCCTCCTCCTCTGAGTCTTCAGGCCAGGAAGGCTTTCTCCCTCCTCCTGTCGCCTGCTTTTCCTGTAGCACTCAGCAAACACTGGTGAAATCAGGGTGGGTACAAACTCACCTGTTTCCAGGGGCTTGTCTGTGCGTTGCACTTTTGGTGCTAAGCCTATCTGCCCGGTTGCCACCACTCCATGCCCTCTGTCGGGTGTCTGAGACTCTGACTTGTCTCAGATGTCCAACTAAGTGGTCCCCGTGATCGTAGCTGACGGGTAGGGTCAAGAAAACTTATGACCCATGGATTATCCCGTTTAGGCACTACCGGCAGGATGTCTACTTGTCTTTAGAAGTTCTTCTTCTACACAACCTCATCACATCCGGACCTGGTAGGGTCCTGTCCTACTGGACATCAGTAGCATGAGCACTGGAATTAGGGTACAAATTTCTGAGGGACGGTTCCCAAAGACTCCCCACCCCACCCCGCCTCGGTACTGGGGATTGAACCCAGAATCTTCCCACTAAATTACATCCGCAGTCCATTATTTACTCTGAGACGACGTGTGGCTAACTCACTAAGTCGCCCCAGTTGGGCTTGAATTTGCGATGCGTGCGCCCTAGATCGCGTCGTGGCCGGGACAATCCTACCCACTGTCCTTCGCCAAAACGGCTCCCCGCTGGGAGGCTCTCGGGCTCACCGGGGCTACGCAGTGTTGCCGACACCCCAGGTCCGGGTCCCGCAGCCAGCCCTCCGGTCCTCCCTTCAGAGATGCGGACGGAGGTCTACACTGAACCTCCGCGAACACTCACGACCTCAGTGCGGTTCTGCGTCCCACAGCGCTTGCGCGGCCCGGACCGTCCCCATAGCCCCCGCCCACCCTCCAGAGCGCATGCGGGAGGCGGGACTTCCGGGTGCCTTCCGCTTAAGCCCTATTTTTCCGGTTCCCGCGATGCGTGAGCTCGGAATAGTACTGAAAGGTCTGGGATTGTGCCTGGGGCCCAGGAGTGTCGCCTCTAGAAAGCCCCGGAGCGTTCGAATTCATCTTAGGTTCTCCACCACGTACCGCAGAGTCGGAGTCGCCGGCGCAGGGCCTGACTCCCATCCGTTCACCCCCCTCGCGGCCGAGACGGGGATGCCATGTTAGCGCGCTGCTGTGTCCAGCTTCGGAGCGTCCAGCGACTGCAAAGCGACCCCGCGTCCCCGCCACCCTTACAGAGCTGTGCGGTCTCCGGACGTGTCCGTGCTCCCGTATGCCTCGGAGTGGCCTGCGGCATCTCTGATGGTCCGCGCCTCGCCGTCTTCAACCACCCGCGCTCCTCCAGTCTCCTCGGCACCCACAACGCCGGCTTCGGTCGTTTTCCCGGCCCCTGGGGACGCGCATGTCGTTCCTACCCCAGAATGCCTGCCCCTCCCGTGGGTGAAGGTCCCGGATTCTGAGCCCTAGGGGCCAGGCCTGTGCATCCACTTCTGGCGGGCTGGAGACCGTCTTCCCCTATGCCTTGGGTGTGATGTTGTTTGCTGCCCTTTTTCCCTGGCGAATTAAGGGTTTTGTTTTGTGAGAGAGGAGACCTGCGGCAGAGCTGCAGCCTGCCTTTTCCAGCTTCCCTCCCACCCGTCTTGGGCATCTCTCTGGTAATGGCGTCATCTGTACCCATTCCCAGGCCCTGAAGGGGTGGGCACTGTCATTGCCCAGAGGGGCTTCAACTCCTTCCTTCTGGACCAGAATTTACCTTGATTTGACAAGCCACGTGTAAAAGCAGCCTTGCCCCGTTGCATTAGATTGCAGTGTGGGACTTAAAGTTCTCTGGGGAACTGGGAAGTAAGAGAGGAGACGTTTTAGTGACATCGGGAACTAGGACCACTGGGGCAGAAATGAGCAAGCAGTGTGCAGATGACTATTGTGCTTATAGCAGTGACGTTCTTTATTCATATTCATATACTAAATTCAAAGGTTTCTGTCTTGTTTTCTGGATCTGTCCCAAGTTGGAACATGTTGGTGTAGCATTTCACATGTTATCTAGAACCACTCTCAGATGCATGATGGTAATGCCAGGAAGGCTGAAGTGGTTAGACTTTAGCTAAATCACGCATCTGCTACAAGAGTTACAGGACAATATTGAAAGAGCAAGTAATGGCCTTTGGCCGAGCAAAAAGTTACATTTAAAAATTGAGTTTTCCACAGTTACCAAAAAAAAGCTTATCAAAAATCCAACTCCAAGCCGATTGAAAATATTTCCTAAAGTTTTAGACAAAAAATGGTTTGCCAAAAGAACCTGCATGTGACATAAGCACTAACGTGCCATTCATTGGGTTACACTTGTTTGTTATGGTTTGGATCTAGACTGTCCACGGAAGGCTCCTGTGTTAAAGCTTTGGTCCCTAGTGCCAAAGTGTTCAGACATGGGCTTGGGGGAAGAGAGGAGCAAAAGGGTTCTGGTTGAATTAATGGATGAATCCACTGATAGGTTTGTCATTCGATGGGCTGTCAGAAGGTGATGGAGATGAGCAGATGAGACCTCACGGGAGGGAGGGCGTCCTTGAGGCGTGGCCTGGAAGATGAGGGCGTACCTTGTCCCCCGCTCCATTCTACCTCTGTCTCCCTCCCTGCTGTCTGTCACAAAGTGAGTTGCTCTGCCTCACCTTGGCCCAGAAGCAGCAGAGCCACATGACCATGGACTGAGACCTCTGACCCTGTCTCAGTCTACATTTGAGCCAGAATAAACATTTTCTTCTTTAGGCTTTTTTTCTCAGATGTCTTGTAACAGTGATGGAAAGCTGCCAAACGTGGTAGTGATGTTAGCACCAAGAACAGAAACGGGCCAGGGATTTAGCTCAGTGGTTCCACTGTCTGCCTCATAAGCACAAGGACCCAAGTTCCATCCCTGGTACAAAAAAAAAAAAAAAAAAAAAAAAAAAACAATTGCTGGTATCTGAATATTCCTGTGTAAATAAACCTGGAACTAACTTTGTGAGACTATTTTCTAGCCATTCAAGGCTCTGTTGAAAGACCTGAACAAAACATGGGGCAACCTACTACAATTTTCAGGTTTTAAAAAATATCTTAGTATTTAAAAAGGTAAATACTATTGTAAAAAACTGCTAATCCCAAAATATAATGTAAGAGAAATGTAATATTTTCTGCACTCAAGCTAATCTTCCATATATACCTTCCTACAGAAGTTTAAATGTGATATTGATGCTCATGGTTCAATTCTGAATCTAAATTTTTAAGAGTCTTATTTGCTAAATTTGGAGAGAGTGCCGAGACACTGAGGTGCACCACCCAGAGAGCACATGTGTCTCAGCCTCCCCAGCCTGCAGTCTTTATTCCTTCCAAGGCCAGTGTCGTGGCAAAACTGGAGTTTAAACCCTGCAGTGTGCATTTCAGTGAACAAAGGAATTTGACTGGGATGCAGCCAGCTTTTAGCAATAAAGAACAATCGTTTGGGCAAACATTTCTACCTTTTCTCAATCTGTTCAGATATCAGGTGACAGAGGTCCAAGGAGTGTGACCTCCAGCAAGGATCATGGGCCAGCAGGGACCAGGGCACCCCATGACCTCCCTGCCAGTGGAGTGAGAGCATCCAGAGCTTCCCCTTGACACTCGCTGTATCGTCCTTGGGTGAGTGGTTCTTCTTCCTTGTCTTCACTGGAGGGAGGGATGGAAAGCATGTGCACACAGCCACAGGAGTGTGGGTGCTACATATGACCCTTTCAGTGCTGCTCAGGAGGCGGCACCAATGTGAGGACAAAACAGCCACCCACCTGACTCAGTTGCCACCTTTTTCTGGTCCTTGGCTTTGAGGGCAGCTACCATGTCTCTCTTTGCTCTGGATGCTAAAATCACTGCAAGTCTCACAGAAGAAATTTCACATTTAATTCTGATAAAATGTAAAGTGGCATCTACATAAATGAGTATGCTTCTGAGTGAAAATATGGCAGCTGTTAACCCTTGTTGCTCTCAAACAATAAATCTCATTTTCCTTCTTTCTAAGTAATCCACCATCCCATCCTGTAAACAATCAAATGCCCAAATCCTGGGTGCATACACTGCTATATTTGATATGTACAGCATGGACTATATTTCATTGAGAACCCATCCATCCCTCTTTTTTAATAAAAGCCAGATCTCTTACTCAGAAATGTTACAAAACTTTACTTGAACTGCAGGAACCTAAAGGCGGAAGTGGGAAGCTTCAGACTTCTGACCCTTGCATTCCCAAGCTCAAAAGCAAGTCCTGGAACTCTTCACAGGATACCCTGGCCCTGGCCCACCAGGAATTGGGGAGGCTCTCTTACCCTAGCCTGCAAAGGGGAGGGACACCCAAGGAGGTTGAAGGGTTGGGGCTGTGCCGAAAGCAGCAGGCCATGGGCTTGTAGCCAGTGACTGCTCTGCCTGGGTAGGTCCTTCCCTCAGTACCAGTAGTTCTAATCCCTCCATAGCACCACAGACTGCTAAGAAATGAGCACTGTCACTGGTTCCCATCTAGGAAGAAGTCAGACTGGTAACTCCCCCACTGTGATCCTCCTCTCTCCCTGGACACCCCAGTCCATGCCTACTTCCTGTCCCCAAGAGCAGGACCAGAGGGGAGGGTGCTTCGCACATGGGGGTGCACAGTAGAGAAAGTAGGACTGAGCCACAAACCATTCCTAAATCCCTTCAATCCCATAAATTGTGTCTCTGGGAGACTATTGTTTGTGGTTCTTGAAATCATCACTGTTCAAACAACAAGGTAAATGATTTTCTTCCCATTAATGTTTTGGGTCTTCAGCCCCAGATGCCGGCAGCTTTTCTTCTCTGGCTGCCCATACAGCATGTCAATAAAGAATTCAGGCTCATCTCTGGCCCTAGGGTCAGGGGCCAGAAAGCTAAAGACACTTCTTAGCTTGTGATACAGGTAGGACATGACTTCTACCTCTTCTGATGGTTCTTCGTACACAGGCTGCTTCATGTCCTCATAGGCTGACAAGATCATGGCCTGAAACAAGTTGATCAAGAGGAAGACCATCACCAGCAGGAAGGAGGAGAGGAACAGGACCCCAAGAACCTTGTTACTGGAAAATTTGGTATTCTGAAAAGCTGAGACACAATAGGAGAATATTGTCTGAGTGGCATGAATCAAGTTACTGTAGTTCCACTCATGTTGACCGAATACCAGGTAACCAAAGGCCATGTACACAAAGAAGTACACAGACACCACAATGGCCATGTGACAGATGCCAGGAAGGGCGGCCTGGATGACCCTCTGGGCCAAGCGCACATCACAGAAGAATCTGGAATATCTGGGGGTCTTCAAGATGGTCAGAAATAACAGGAAAGCCAGGATTATCCTCATAGTTTGATCTACTTGGGAAACTGCTTGGAAAGGAATGAAGTCATGCGGGTTAGACAAGTAAAATTGGATCATGCCAGCAGCCAAGAAATACTTCCTGAAAAAAAGCATGACCAGTGCAGTAAATATACATTTCAAAGTGAAGTTGAGCAAGTTGTACATGCTTTTCACATAGGAAGCTCCCTCTTGCGTGATGACGTAGCCCTCGTCAACAATGTAAGCTAAAAAGAAAATGAGAATGGCCACATACAGGTAGATCTCTGCCAGCGATTCGCTGTGGAGCTCAGTAAGTGAGAAGGAGTGGGTGGAGATGCTGGCATTGACAACTCCTAGCTGAGAAACCTCAAATACAATAGAAATGCTGCAGAACAGACTGGCATCTGGATTGAAAGTGGTTAGTTCCAGAATCACAGCCCATGTCTTCTCATCAAGCCAATTGCTTTCTTGAAGTTCTCTAAGCCTCAGTGTGGAATTAAGCTGCTGCTGTTCTGCGAAAAAATAGAATACATACCCTCCGGACCCATAGGTATGTAACGGTCCATAGGAATAATACACCCACCTCTTTCCCTGAGGTTTATAAGTGAACCCATCAATATTCCTGCTCATAGCCTGCTTATCAACTTCACCCCAAAACCTAGAGTAGTTTGTGGTGTCCTCTGCGTCGGTGCCATACTTGGGATGACAGTGAATTTCTCCTGCCATGCTGTCCTGCACAAAGCTTTTAGCAGGTGGACACATTTTTCCACCAGGTTTTGCCCTCACTTGTCTCTTGAGGGGAAGCCCCAAGATCTTGGAGGAGCTGTCGGGGAGAAAGGTCAGGTTCCGGTCATTGTGGAGCAAAGGCAACAGCACGCGGTTGAGCCACTTGTAGATGTCCTCCAGGTTTGTCACTGCAGGAAGGTCCCCGGAAAAGCAGTCTTGGATGAACTGGTAGTAGTAGAAGCTGTCAGTGTGGTGCAGCAGGACAATGAGGAGCAACAGCAGGGCCAGGAAGATGCAATGCATCACGATGTAGCTCAGGAACAAGACAGCTCTTCTCTTGACCCTCTTCCTCCTTCTGAATATCCTGATTTCATCTTCCATGAGGGGCTGGTACATCTTCGAGCCACGCAGGCAGGTGAGGTGCTCCTGGAGCTGCTGCCTTTCATCTGGATGCATCCTCATCCCCCACAGCTTGATCTCAATAGACTGATATTTAGTTGACCACGCCAGGTTTCTACAGTACTTGGGTTTATTTGTCCTGATGCCTGACCAGAGTATAATCTCTAATGGCTGCACCAGAAAAACTGACTGACAAAATGAGCAAAAAGATGCCAAGAGCCACTCTACTGACTTGTCATAGCTGTAAGTCAGACCATAGAAGATGATAAAGACTGAGGATACGGTACAAGTGGTGAGCACTAACAACCATGCTACATAAACACACCACCGAGGCAGGGTGATCCAGGGTTGTGTCTTACAATGTTTAGGATCCCCTTGGGAAGAGGGTTCTCCAGAAGGGACATCTGGAATGTCTTTCGTGTTTCTGTTACTGACATTTGTATTGGTCTCTGCTGTCTCAGCGGTCACCTGGAGAGAAGCCTTTGGTTGTCCGGACAAAACCTTCACAGTGGGTTTTGAGGCTTCCCTGCTGCACCCCTTGTCAGCTTCACATACTTCCCACTTGCACAAGCGCTCCTCCCAGCCCTCACTGCCTGCCAAAGTCAGAGGATGCTTTTGAGGAACCACCTCATCTAGCTCTACTTGGGATTTTTTCTGGGAGTGGGTGAAGAAAAAAGTAATTAACATTGGCACCGGGATTGTGATTAAGACACTTTGAATTCCTATCGTCATTAATCTGATGTAGCGCCCCTCTCTTGAGGCAGCCTTCTCTTGACTGTTCAGATTAAAGAACAGAGTATTACAAAGAAGACAGCTTAGCAGTGTTGCTAAGCAACAGGACAATCTTTGGAGCCTACTGAATGGTTTGGCAACAAAATCAGCAAAAACCGAAAACCACATGCGGTGTGTCCTCAGCTTATAGGTCAGGTCTATCAGGAAGAAGTCCATTCTTCTCACAGGCTCCTCTGGATATGTAACATGAAACATTCTCTCCAAAGTGGTGTCAACAGAAAGCCACTTTCGGCACATGAACAGCCAAATGTGCCTGCTAAACAGATTCTCCACCTTGATTCGACTCAGATACCAATTAGGTGCTTTGCCCTCGTTGTTGTGCCACACTCGAATGGAATGGATGTCCCCTAAGTCACTTTTTGTTGTCAGAAGTAAAGCGCTGATGCTTCCTCGGAAGAGAGTTCTAAAGTGCAAGTGGCTTACGCAATGCACATCGCTGGTGCTCTCTGTGCCCCTAAGCTGGACAACGACACTGGCCCTGGTTCCAGCCCCACAACAACTTCCTGTAAAGATAGTGACCAGGTAGCACGTGTTATCATAAGGATCATTGTTAGGCAGGACCACCACATAGTCCCAAAGAAATTGGTCCATCTCATTCCTATGCAAGGCCCAGAAAGCTAGAATTGTGTAGATGACCATGATGAAAAGCACAGTGAGGAGAGTCACAGGGTTGTACTGACAGTCCTGGGTGACGTTCAACTGTAGATCCACAGAATTAGGGATTGTGATCACCTTGCCCATCACGTAGCGTGTACGCAGGGGAACATGGGTTGGAGTCCTCAGCTGCCGCCGTGCCCTTGTCATGTACCTGCAGGTACAGTGTACTTTGTTCCAGGTGGTCTTTTCACCCAGCGTGCAGGCATCTTCTCTCCACTGGCCCCGGATCCTGTGCATGTCCAGGCAGCTGGCACCAAAGACAGAAATTCTCACTAGCTTGTGGCTGGGCTCCAGGACAAAGTGTGGGGCCTGCAGAACCACAGATATGTCGCACTTGGGCGAGCGGCTGTGCCGAGTCATAACCTGCAGCAGGGACGGGGGCAGGCAGACCACTCTAGCCACCCTGACTCTACAGGCTGGGTCAAACAGGACACTCTGGATGACAACTGGAGGCATGTCGTGAGGCACCAGGAAGGTGGCCACCAGATGGGTGGGGGCGACATGACGGCCCACATACACCAACACCTTCAACAGCCCAGTCACTTCTGTCACGATGTGGACCAGCACCTCCCTAACACCTCTGCTGTCCACTTCAAAGCTAAACGCCCCTGCCATCGTCCCCGAGGACCCTGTGGCCTCACTGTCAGGTCCCACAGTGAGATTAAAAGTCGCAGAGGTCAAGTTTTTTCTGGTGAGGTACACTTCCACTGTGTCCGGTATCACCTCTATCATGCTCCCTTTACCTGTGGCACCCGTCATCCTGAACCCGCCCACCTCTGTCGAAATGCTTTCTGGGTAATTTAACCAAGGAAATGCATCATCTGTAAACTCACAGAACATCACAGAAACGGGAGCATTTACAGCCAGACCAGGAACTCTGCTTGTATTTAGGATTACGTGGAACCAGTTTTGGCCGTGTTTTTCTTTTCGGAAGGCCTGAGCCGCATCCCACTTTGCAACTTTCTCCACATACATACCAAACCCAGGAGCCCTTAGCACGGTAGCTTCACTCCCTGGTACTTTATGAGCCAATACTGTGTCTGATAGAGATTCCATTACATAGAAAGCATCTTCGAACACCTCATGAGGAGTAGCCAGTTTAAGTATATTAGACAAGCTCATTAATATTCCAGCGCTCACCATTTCTATCTGTTCAGAGCTAAAGTGCTCGTCTTCCCGTTCATATGTTTGCGGGGCTTGATTTGCTTGCCGTATCCCCACTGTGGCATATTTCTGAGCAACCTGGGTGACCTCAGAGGCTTCTCGTGTTAGCTCAGTAATAGCTGTCACCGCCTGGCCCACTTCCTCCACAGTTCTTAGAGGAAGTGTGCAGGACTGATTGAGCAGGTGTTCTCGGAGGTGGGCTTTGTGCTCTCTGAGGCTTTGTGCAGTTTCCATGCTATTCAACACGGAAGCTACCACATTCATTAAGCGACTTGCAAGTAACCAGTCCTGCCCGTGAAGCAAGGTAGACAGCAAAGAAGTTGGTCCCAAGGTGAAATTGAGGAGGTGCCACAACACGGTCTTCGCAGAGCTTCTGTCAGTGGGAGGACACACGGTGACAGAGAAAGTCACTGGAGAACAAGCTCCCAGAGAGTCATAAACCTGAACAAGTATCTTCAAGGCATAATGATTTGCAGAGGAGCCAACAGGGAGAAAGGAAGGGGGTGCTGTGGCCTGTGTCCCCCAATACAAGATGGTCCCCAGAGTGTTCTCTTTCACCAAACTGACATCACCAACACTGCCCAAATCAGAAACTGTTATTTTATATGCAAGAGGGACATGCTGATCCTTAAAATGACTACACTTGATAACAAACTGAGTAAACATTGCTATTCCTTTTGCTGGATTCACCTGGCATTCCCCGATTTGAGGGCTGTGGTTGATGATAAAGGAATGTCTGAACTCCAAGGTCGTGCCACTCCAACTCTCCAGATAAACAGAAACCCAAAATTTAGCTTCCAAAAAACTCTGAAAGGCAAAAGCTTTCACAGACAGGTAAGCAGCATTCCTGCCCGTTACAGTTTGCCTGCTCCAATCAAAGGACACCTCCTCACCCAGTGGAGAAAAAATGGACCAGGTGTAGACATCCCGCCGGCCACAACTTGTGCAATTCAGAAACAAGGAAATTCTGCGAGATACGTCTAAAATGGGATCACAGTTTTCATTACATGAAATATGTGCTGTGGGTGTTGGTCCTTGGAGCACATGGACCCTTTTATCAAAAAACGCTGCTTTGTGACCCTTGCATATCACCATTCTGAAATAATACACACGATCTCCTTTAAGGGTCTCTGGTGAAAGCATCAGCACCTGTCCAAAGGCCCAAGCCCAGTGCAGATTGGCCTGATCTGGGTGACAGACTTCCTGGTCTGTCTCTGTTACTTGGTCTCCAATGTAGTTTCCGGCATTGGTGGTACAGTACCAGGAGAAATGGAGTCCCTCCACCGGGTTGTCTGCATCTGGGTTAAAGGACACGGTCCCATTCAGAATCAGCTCATCTGTAAAATGAACCATTTGGCTCGCATCTCCAAGAAGGACCGCCCTCAGGGGGCTGCTAATGGGCCACACAGAGACGGGATCTGAGTCTTTTACCAGCAGCGCATTGGGATCCCATGTAGTGATAGCCTCGGTGAAATGAAGTAACTTCCGGCCGGGATTCAGAGAAGCCCCGGGGCTGTGTAAAGCGGACCAATGCACCCCGGCCTGCAGTTGCTGAGCGTGGGCTAGGCAGGCGCAGCCAGGCAGGGCAGCCCAGCGCTGCTCCTGGATGCTGTCCTTCAGGGCCACTTCTGCCTTTCTCTGGATAATCTTCACCTGCCGGTGGTGGCAGGGGCTCACAGTGCGCTGATGGGGCGGGGCCGCATGAAGACTAGGAGCTTTGCTTCCTTCACTCCTGGGGACGGTGCCCTCAGGGGCCACGCAGAGCCGCTGGCCAGGATGAACAGGGCTGATGCCCAGCCGGAGCCCTGGGGTGACTCTGGGGACCCCTGATGTCCAGGCCGGTGACCCGCGAAGGCGGGAAGGCGAAGAAAAGCAGCCCAGGACCAGGAACAGGCCCGGGAGGAGTAGTGTGGACCCTGGTCCCATGACGCCGGCCTGAGAGGCCAGAGAACGAGCACGGGGCTGCCCAAAGGTAGGGCGCAGGGACAGGCGTGAGCGGTGGTCACGGGGTGCGGGTGGGGGTGGGAGGGCGCTTGGAGAGCTCTCAGAAACAAGGGGGTCTGGGGGACAGAGTGGGGGCCGTGGAGTCTCAGAGTCAGTGGTGGAGGACCCCCTCCCCCACCTCTGTTCCGCTCACACTGCACCCCAGGATCAGGGATTGGTGAATGAGGTTAATTTTCCTCCCTTCACTCCCCAGCAGGTAGGGTCCTGAGCAGAAGCCAACGCCCCTGGGAAAAGGGTGGAAGTCCACAGCAACTGTGAGCACCCCAGGGCCGGGAAGCCTGGCTTTGGGTTTCTTATTTGGGTTGATTGTCTTCTACTTTTTAAAATGTCCACCACCCCACACCAAGGACGTGTCACTGGCTAGCATGGGTCCTTGCTTCAGAGATAATGGACTTAGAACCGAGGAACTCAGCACCAACTTACAGGAAAAACACTTTGATTGGAAAATAAAAGGCATGGAACTTCAGCTTGACAGGCTGAAAGCCAAAGAAGCACATCTCTGACAGAGCGAGCTAGCCTAACAAAGGAAGGTAAGAAAAGACAGGGAAGGGACTTCCTGAGGACCCAGGGACACTCAGGGCTGATGAGGTGCCGACTGCTGCTTCAAAGAAACAGAGCAGGTGTTACAGACTTGCTGTGACAGGCTAGAGCGTGATTCAGTATTACCTCAGCTCCACCTTAGCACATGGCTCCGGGAGAGGTCCTAATCGGCTGAACCAGCAGTTTGTTCTTCCTGACTGTTTCTGTCTGGGGAGCCTCAGTCTTGGGAGCCTGTGCTGGAATCCAGGGTGACCACAGGACTGGGGCCAGGACCTGAGACTTTGAGCATAGCTGAATGTCCCTGTCAAACCCCAGCCTTGGTGCCCTCAGTCTTGAAGGGAGATAGGTAGGTTGTGTGAATTCAGGGCTCATCAGCCTTGTTTTACCAACCTTTAGTCAGACATTCCCTAAACGATTAACACATCTATGTGCAGAGCAGAGAAGGGATTTGAGCCAAGTTTTAAGGGAATAAAGATTTGTTCTGCTTTTAGTTACCTATTGGGCATCTCTAGGCCCAAGTGAAGAGTCACTGTTTTGGGGTTTTGTTTGTTTGTTTAGCAAAAATGGCTTTTAACTTCCTGCTTCAGAAGAAAATGGAAATCATGTTCTTAATGGGTAACAGGTTAAGGGTCTAGAAGTTTGTTCTCTTTCCCGGTGGTGGTCTCTATGAGAAAGGCAGTGTGACAACAGTAAGAAAGTAGCCATCTCTAAACCAGGAGGGGGGCCAAGAACTGTCATACTGCTAAGTTCAGATAAAAAATGTCCCCCAAGCCAGACATGGTGGCACACGCCTAGAATCCCAGGACTTGGGAGGCTGAGACAGGAGGATCGCTGTGAGTTCGAAACCAGCGTGGGTTACATTGTGAGTTCCAGGTCAGTTTCAACTACGTAGCGAGATCCGGCCTCAAAAACCAAAACCAAAAAAAGTCCCCCAAAAGGCTCATGTGTCCAGAGGTAGAGCTTTGGAAAGTGCTTGGATCATGGAGGTGCCAATTAATGAATTAATCCAGAGTTCATAGCTGACTGGACTGTCAGGGAAAGGGGCCTAATTGGAGGAACTAAGTCCTTGGGGGGTGTAATTCAGAAGGGTATATCTTGTCCCTGGCTCTTTCCTTCCCCTCTGCTTCCTGGCCACCATGAGGTAAGCAGCTCTCCTACACCATGTCCTTCTGCCACAATGTTTCTGCCTTATTATAGGCTTAGAAGCAACAGAGCCCGGTGACCATGCACTGCAGCCAAGATAAACTTTTCCTCCTTCACGCTCTTTGTGCCAATCATTTTAGTCACAGTGATGAAAAGCTATCATACACCCTGCTCTTGGACTTCATGCTGCAGAATATGAGAAATTGACCTTTGTGGTCTGAGTCAGCTGGCCTGTGGCATCCAGTAATGACAAAGGAGCGGACTACACCAAGGGGAGATATCAAGGCTGGGGACTCAGGCTGGGGTTAACCAGGGCTCCTTAGCTTTGTTTTTCCAACCTTTAGACAGACACTCCCTAAATGATTAACATGGCTATGTGCACAACTGAGAAGGGATTTGACCCAGAGGTTGTTTTGTTTTTGTTTTTGTTTTGTTTTTGTACCTGAGATTGAACTCAGGACCTTAGACTTGCACAACACAGGTATGACACCACTGAGATAAATCCCCAGCCTGTGACCCAGAGTTTTAAGGATGTAAAGGACACAAAATGAAGGGCAAGATTTGTTCTGGCTTTAGTTACCTATGGGACATCTGTAGGCCCCATTTTGGGAGAAGTCCATATGCCCTAGTATCCCCAGGGTAAGAGGTCAAGACAAGGTCAACCTGGTGAAGGAAGGGCAAGGTGGGGAGCATGAGAAGCATGGAGGGTCCCAGAAACTGTGGCCAGAAGGTCTCAAGGCAGGAGTGGCCAGCTGTGTCAATGCCACTGAGGCCACAGCAGGTGAAATGATGGGGAAAGTGGCCACTGTTCTTGGGAGCAGGGAGGACTTTGTTGTCCTGGCTAACTGCAGTGGCATGGGGTGGGGGTTAGGGGGCAACAGTTTGAGTAGGTTGGTTCCAGAGTGAGGAGGACATGGAGACGAACCACATAGCTCTTTGGGTGTTTGCAGAAACCTGGAGACAGAAGGGAGGCCACCCTGAGGGACCAGGAAGGCAAAGGGCACTTTAATTGATTATAAAATATCTAAGAGATATAAGGAGATATTTTTGAAAAGTACAAACCACTCAAGTGCTCGCATGCCAGCCAAAGAAGAGCACAATCCCCATTTGGTACCTCCTCCCTGGATAACCATTACCCCAGGTTTAGCCTATTGCTCTCCAACATCTCCAATCCCTTAGCAATGTATTGATGTGCACACTATTAAACTTTATCTTGCATGTCTTCTTCCACCGCTGTGTTGATATGAGTTCCTCCTGCTGAGTCATGTAGCATCAGCTCCTTGTTTTCTCAATAGCATGGCTTGCTACTGAGCCAGCATGCTACACTACTCTCCTAACTGTGGTCATCAAGGTGGTTTTCTAGGTTTTCCTGTTACAGATGCTACAGGTCGGCATCTTTAGATGGTTTCCTCTCAAAAGGAACCAGTATGCTGGGTAAGCAGATCTCTTTTGTTATTTTTGTTGAGACCCAGTCTAGCTATATAATTCAGGCTGGCCTTGAACTCACTATGTAGCCCCACCTAGCCTCAAACTCATGGTGATCCTCCTTCCTCACCCTCCTCAGTGCTGAGATTTATAGGCCTGTACCATCATTCCAGTGGATCTCCAATTTTAAGAAAAAAGAATGTGTATTCCCTCTCTCACATCCAGCTCACTCAGACTCACCTTGTGAGGCCAGTTCTTCCTTGCCCATTGGATAATAAAGGCGCTCTGTTATCCATCAGGTTTTTTTTTCTCAGTTATTAACATGTCATGCTCTCACTTCATTCTTTATTACCTTTCCCACTCCCAGCTTTGCCCACACCCCCACCACTCCCCACAGCAAAAGTGAAGGAGGAGGACAGCAGCTGAGTTGTGATGTCTCGAGGCTGCCCACGTCAACAAGGTTGATGACAAGGAGGACACATCGGCCCTTCTGAGGTCTCTCCTTGGTTTCCCTGTATACAGCAGGGCATCCCTGGACATCCTTCAGCCCACCCCCTAAAAGACCACCAAGCCCACTATCCTTGTAGATGACCCTTCTGGGACAAGACCTGCTGCCCCATCAGGCTACACTAAGGGTATAGCAAGATGTAAAGAAAAACAAGTCTTTCCCAGCCTTGGGCATTCCCTCCTTCACTCTCCTCTCCCCTGTAGCTATAACTCCTTGTTCTTGTACAGATAGAATTAACAATTATGTTTTATAAACAAAGGTTAGGACATTCTGTTCTCGTATGATTCCTGGCACACTGTCTTCTTTCAAGGCAAAGTTACAAAGCTATCTACCCTTGTCTTGTTCTGATAAACTCACTTGCTACATCACTAGAAAAGCCATCCTCTTCAACAAAAGTTAGAGCAACCCACTTTCTGGGTCTCCTGTCTCTCTTAGACAGATGCTATCTTTCCCTCAATAAATATTTCCTATTCTTAAAAAAAATGTATAAAAGATAAAACTTCTCTTTGTTCAGAACTTAGCCATTTTAGACAGAGTCTGCTGAGCCATTGTATGCAATTTAAATAAATCCTTCTAACTCCCATTTGGTCTCTCCTGTGTCTTGAAATTCTGCAAGGACAGAGTAAACACAGGCACCCTCACTATGCTCGGCTGGGAGAGGGACCCCGCTCTTGGTCCATCACCCAGCTCTCTCCAGGTACACAGGCTAAGACACCCAGGAAGGTCCTGCCACTATGCAGGGGTGAGGGGAAAGTGACTTGGTCCCTCATGGTGGTCTCTGAAGACACTCTGCTGCTTCTTCAGCCTCCACCCTCATAGCCTGAGAAGGTGCCTGCAAGAGTGACCTGCCTCCTACAGTTATTTTCTTGGCCATTTGGCCTCCTGGTCACACAGAAGAAAATGTTAGAGATTTGGGTTCTGGGAATCTTTACCACTTACCAGTCAGTGGCTGTGTTTCTTACCTGAAGTGATGAATGGTTTATAGTAAGCTGAGGGAGAGAGTGCTGTAAGAGATAGAGCATGGCAAAGCTGACTGGAGACATTAATAAAAGGTACCAAGAAATCCAAATAAAGGAAATATAACTTACAACCCACTAGATATCTGAATTGCTGAGTTCTTGTTCTCTAAAATCAAAGACTGAATTCTAGGAACAAAAGAGGTTAAAAGTAGGAAGAATTTATTGAAAGACAGCTTTTATCTTCTGCCATTACTTCTGTAAACAGGTTTTTTTATGTCATTTGTGCTATCTTCTGATTTTTCATTGACCCTGATCAATCTTTTTTGTTTGTTTGTTTCTTCAGAACT